CCACAAATGACCCCAAATAGACACAATGGTCGAGTCCACGATCACATGTCCCCCATTGAGCCACTATGCGCTATTTAAAGCACAACCAGGAAGTGCCTCGGTTGGCCCTAAACTCAAGAACGGCGCGGAGGCTGCTGCAGGTAGGAAAGCAGCGTCGGCGTCGAAGCTCGAACGCACGAGCCGGGAAACCGTTCAGATGTTGGGAAAACAGGACCGTGAGACACACGAGCTTCCTGCTAAACCAGACTAACGGAGTAGCTCCGCAGAACGAGACGGGGAAGGAAGCGTCGAGCTCTTGACCAGATGCAGACGCTACCAGTCGGGAGATGACGGACACTACACAGTACTACACAGTACTTACTACACAGTACTACTACACAGTACTACACACAGTACTACACACAGTACTACTACACACAGTACTACACACAGTACTACACAGTACTACACACTACTACACAGTACTACACACAGTACTACACAGTACTACACACTACTACACAGTACTACACACAGTACTACACACTACACAGTACACAGTACTACACAGTACTACACAGTACTACACAGTACACAGTACACAGTACTACACAGTACTACAGTACTACACAGTACTACACAGTACTACACAGTACTACACAGTACACACAGTACTACACAGTACTACACACAGTACTACACACAGTACTACACAGTACTACAGTACTACACAGTACTACACAGTACTACACACAGTACTACACACTACACAGTACTACACAGTACTACACACAGTACTACACACAGTACTACACACAGTACTACACAGTACTACACAGTACTACACAGTACTACACAGTACTACACACAGTACTACACACAGTACTACACAGTACTACACAGTACTACACAGTACTACACAGTACTACACAGTACTACACAGTACTACACAGTACTACACAGTACTACACACAGTACTACACACAGTACTACACACAGTACTACACAGTACTACACAGTACTACACAGTACTACTACACAGTACTACACACAGTACTACAGTACACACAGTACTACACACAGTACTACACAGTACTACACAGTACTACACAGTACTACACAGTACACACACAGTACTACACACAGTACAGTACTACACAGTACACACAGTACTACAACACAGTACTACACAGTACTACACACAGTACTACACACAGTACTACACAGTACTACACAGTACTACACAGTACTACTACACAGCTACTACACAGTACTACACAGTACTACACAGTACTACACATACACAGTAACTACAGTACTACACAGTACTACACAGTACTACACAGTACTACACAGTACTACACACAGTACTACACAGTACTACACACAGTACTACACACAGTACTACACAGTACTACACACAGTACTCAGTACTACACAGTACTACACACAGTACTACACAGTACTACACAGTACTACACACAGTACTACACAGTACTACACACAGTACTACACACTACACAGTACTACACAGTACTACAGTACACACAGTACTACACAGTACTACACAGTACTACTACACAGTACTACACAGTACTACACAGTACTACACAGTACTACTACACAGTACTACTACTACACACAGTACTACACAGTACTACACACAGTACTACTACACACAGTACTACACACAGGTACTACACAGTACACACAGTACTACACAGTACTACTACACAGTACTACACAGTACTACACACAGTACTACACAGTACTACACAGTACTACACACAGTACTACACAGTACTACACAGTACTACACACAGTACTACACAGTACTACACACAGTACTACACACAGTACTACACACAGTACTACACACAGTACTACACAGTACTACACACAGTACTACACAGTACTACACACAGTACTACACAGTACTACACAGTACTACACAGTACTACACAGTACTACACAGTACTACACAGTACTACACAGTACTACACACAGTACTACACAGTACTACACAGTACTACACACAGTACTACACAGTACTACACACAGTACTACACACAGTACTACACACAGTACTACACAGTACTACACAGTACTACACACAGTACTACACACAGTACTACACAGTACTACACACTACACACAGTACTACACTACTACACAGTACTACACAGTACTACACACAGTACTACACAGTACTACACAGTACTACACACAGTACTACACAGTACTACACACAGTACTACACACAGTACTACACAGTACTACACACAGTACTACACAGTACTACACACAGTACTACACACAGTACTACACACAGTACTACACAGTACTACACACAGTACTACACAGTACTACACAGTACTACACAGTACTACACACAGTACTACACAGTACTACACACAGTACAGTACTACACAGTACTACACACAGTACTACTACACAGTACTACACAGTACTACACGGTACTACACAGTACTACACAGTACTACACACAGTACTACTACACAGTACTACACAGTTACTACACAGTACTACACAGTACTACTACACAGTACTACACAGTACTACACACAGTACTACACACAGTACTACACAGTACTACTACACAGTACTACACAGTACTACACAGTACTACACAGTACTACACACAGTACTACACAGTACTACACACAGTACTACACAGTACTACACAGTACTACACACAGTACAGTACACACAGTACTACTACACACAGTACTACACAGTACAGTACTACACAGTACTACTACACACAGTACTACACACAGTACTACACACAGTACTACACAGTACTACACAGTACTACACAGTACTACACAGTACTACACACACAGTACTACACAGTTACACACAGTACTACACAGTACTACACACAGGTACTACACACAGTACTACACAGTACTACACAGTACTACACAGTACTACACACAGTACTACACAGACTACACAGTACTACACAGTACTACACACAGTACTACACAGTACTACACAGTACTACACACAGTACTACACAGTACTACACACAGTACTACACACAGTACTACACACAGTACTACACACTACACACAGTACTACACAGTACTACACACAGTACTACACACAGTACTACACAGTACTACACACAGTACTACACAGTACTACACAGTACTACAGTACACACAGTACTACACACAGTACTACACAGTACTACACAGTACTACACACAGTACTACTACACACAGTACTACACACAGTACTACACAGTACTACACAGTACTACACAGTACTACACACAGTACTACACAGTACTACACACAGTACTACACACAGTACTACACACAGTACTACACAGTACTACACACAGTACTACACACAGTACTACACAGTACTACACAGTACTACACACAGTACTACACAGTACTACACACAGTACTACACACAGTACTACACACAGTACACACAGTACTACACAGTACTACACACAGTACTACACACAGTACTACACAGTACTACACACAGTACTACACTACTACACAGTACTACACAGTACTACACAGTACTACACAGTACTACACACAGTACTACACAGTACTACACAGTACTACACACAGTACTACACAGTACTACACAGTACTACACAGTACTACACAGTACTACACACAGTACTACACACAGTACTACACAGTACTACACAGTACTACACAGTACTACACAGTACTACACTACACACAGTACTACACAGTACTACACACAGTACACAGACTACACACAGTACTACACACAGGTACTACACAGTACTACACACAGTACAGTACTACACAGTACTACACAGTACTACACACAGTACTACACACAGTACTACACAGTACTACACACAGTACTACACAGTACTACACGGTACTACACAGTACTACACAGTACTACACAGTACTACACACAGTACTACACACAGTACTACACAGTACTACACACAGTACTACACAGTACTACACACAGTACTACACACAGTACTACACACAGTACTACACAGTACTACACACAGTACTACACAGTACTACACAGTACTACACAGTACTACACAGTACTACACACAGTACTACACACAGTACTACACAGTACTACTACACACAGTACTACACACAGTACTACACAGTACTACACACAGTACTACACACAGTACTACACACAGTACTACACACAGGACTACACTACTACACAGTACTACACAGTACTACACAGTACTACACAGTACTACTACTACACAGTACTACACACAGTACTACACACAGTACACACAGTACTACACACAGTACTACACACAGTACTACACAGTACTACACACAGTACTACACACAGTACACACAGTACACACAGTACTACACAGTACTACACAGTACTACTACACACAGTACTACACAGTACTACACACAGTACTACACACAGTACTACACACAGTACTACACACAGTACTACACACAGTACTACACAGTACTACACACAGTACTACACACAGTACTACACAGTACTACACAGTACACTACTACACAGTACTACACAGTACACACTACACTACACACAGTACTACAGTACTACACAGTACTACACACAGTACTACACAGTACTGCACAGACTGACAGGGACTGACAGGTGTGACGGGGACAGAGGGGGCGGGGCTTATCCAGGTCACAGGTCGACGCCGTCACTCGTCCCGTCGGTGCCAAATGGAAAAACAAGACTTTTTCCTGCCTACAAAGTCTCACCAGAACGTCCTGTCCCTAAAACATAAATGCTTTAAAAGTACTACAAGTACTACAGATACTACAGATACTACAGATACTACGAGTACTGCAAATATTACAAGTATTACAGGTATTACAAGTATTAAAAGTATATGTAATCCTTCTGGTCTCTCCTCAGGCTCCCCTCGTCGCCGCCTTCACAAACGGATACCACTGACCCGAGGACACCAGCCAATCACAGCGCTCCCAGGCTCTCAGGCTGTGTGCTGA